CCCAGTGCTGCATGTCATCGACGTGGCCACCAAGTACCAGGCTGCTTGCGTTGTTCATGGTGAACGGAGTCAAGACCTTCAGAAGGCTCTCCAACGCACCTGGTTTCGCCAATTTGGTGTCCCTGCTGAACTTTGCACTGACGAGGGACGTGGTTGGGCCGCTGATGAAATGCTGGGCTACTTTCACTGACTTGAACCTCAAGCATACCGTTTCTCCAGGAGAAGCACATCAGAAGCTTGGTCTGGTCGAACGATATCATCAAGTTCTTCGCAAAGCGGCTGAGGTCTTCATGACAGACCGCAATGATGTTTCTCTGAAAGGTTCGCTTTAGTGTTTGTCTTGCCCCAGATCAACAACAGCCAAACAACCGTTGCTGGTTACAGCCCGGCACAATGGGTCCTGGGATATCAACCTGCTTTTCCAGGGGACTTGCTGCAGGAGCAGATCAACCCTGCTCAACTTGGTGGATCACCCAACTTTGAATCCATCCTGGAACTTCGAACTGCAGCAAAGATGGCTTTGGTCAAGGCAGACCAGGACATGCGTCTTCGACGAGCTCTACTCCGTCGCTACTCTGGGCTGAACACTCCCATGGATCCTGGTCTGGTGTTTTACTGGCGTGATGCTCGTGCAGCTGACTTGGTGAAGATCCGATGGCTGGGCCCTGCTCGAGTGGTGATGCGGGAGGATGAGGATGATGATGATGATGATGATGGTGATGATGATGATGATGATGATGGCAACCCTGGTGTATTGGCTTGCGCACAACACACAGTTGCTGCGATGTGCACCTCATCATGTGAGGCCTGACTTCCGGCATCCCGAAGCTTCGAACCTTGGTGGAGTTGCAGAAGCTCGCAAGGATGTTGCCAGCTTCACCGATGCCAAGGCCTTGTATGACTCCTACCACCGTGAGTCCCTGATCTCCAACGTGACTGACCGGAGGTCGAGCCTTGAAATCCGGGTGGTCAAGGAACAGATTGGTTCCTTGGGTGGCACCATGCGATGGGTGTCGAGTGACCGGCAACTTGCCGATGGTCTTACAAAGGCCAGCATGCGGCAGACCTTGGCTGACAAACTTCGACATGCGAAGATCAAGTTCCTCTACGACCCTGGCTATGTAGCTGCAAACAAGAAAACCTTGGAAGAGAAACGCAAAGAGCTGGAATCTTCGACAAAGACTCGCAAGCAGAAACTTTCAAAGGATGCCAAGAAGCCAAAGAATGACTTCAAACCTGAGAATGCCAAAGCCCCTGAGATTGACTTGACTGCTGAGAATGTGGACGCTCCTGCGGAGGGAGATCTGACTGCCGAGCTCTTTGCCGATGAAGAGTTCAAGATGAATGCAGAGCATGATGTTGCTCAGTACGACTTGGTGCCACAGAGTGCCCGAGCTCCTGTGAATGTCTGCTGTGCACAGTCCTTTACAGTTGTCAAGTATGTCAACGCCCGGCGCGCAAGCCATGGCGCTGTTGTGAATGTGCCCACGCTCCTCGAGAAGTTTGTGTTCAAGACACTGGATTTTCTGGTTGCAGTTCTTGGAATGCAGAACATCCCCCTGGCACAAGGCACAGATGTTTGTGTCACACCTGGTTTTTCTGCAGATGAAACGGGTTCTAACAACTACTTGAGCTCGTTTCTTTTGCTGCTTAGGACTGGTCATTTTGACCCTCTGGTTTGCACTTCGACGATAAATTCGTCGACTTGGTGAGCTGGACTTCCAGCTGAGCGCTGCAAGGCAACAGATCGCCCTGCTGGAGCGAGACGTGGCCGAAGGTGAAGGTAGACATGTGACTGTGGAGAACGAGCGCGAGTCCGTGATGCGCAACCCCAACGTCCTCTCAGTGATGCATGGTGAGCTCCAACAGGCCTATGAAAGGCGAACGCTTCCAAGACAGATCAGGATCATGGCATGCTGACTCACACTGCCCTGAGTTGTACATTTCCGGTTTGGAAATTCAGAATAGGGTGCCATGTCCGTTTTGCGCTCCGATGATTTGAATGCTGGCTTGAGGGTGATTCATGCCCCCGATAAAACTTGAGGCCCCTGGGTGACCAATAGCTCTTTCCCTGTGCGAGATGCATGCCATGCATTCGGTTCATTTGAGGGTTCCAGATGTTTCAGCTGCCACCTTTCCCCATAACATTGGGATCAAGGGTGGGACTTTCCGCCAATACCGGCGCGGCGTTGCGCTTGTGAAAAGCGCTCTTTGGACCTTTTTTACTTGGAGGACTTCGGGAGCCTTCAAGGTTGCATCTGGGTGGGTTTGGAAACCCCTGTTTGCTTCGCACAACTCATCTTCCGAAAACGATGCCAAAGTATTGCACCTGTCACACAGAAGGAGTTTGGACACATTGCACCTGCGCAATAAACACCATAGGAATTGCCCCAAGACATCAACAACACTCCACCAAGACACCACCAAATCAACAGTGACATACCACCAATACAACCCAACGAACCAAGACACAACACACCCACAACCCACAATACCATGAAACCGGACACAGACCACCAACGCAATAGACATGACGGAGACACCATCAAAACACCATGACGACAGCCACAGCCCAACATGATCCCCACATTCTGCAATGCCAGCCCAAAAGCGCCCAAGATGGGCCAAAATGAGGCCGAAACAGCCAAACATGAACCCAATTTTTCTGCAAGTCAAAAATTCCATCATCTAATTTCTATTCCACCCTCTGTTTATATATATATATACCTTCATAGCAAATTTCCACTAATGCCTCTCGCCATGCTTTGCATGAGCGCTTGTGCAATCCCATGAAATCAGATTAGACAAAATTGGATTGTTAACGTTTAAGTTTTCCTATTTCCCGTTTGCCCTTATTGGATCAGATCAGATTGCTTGAACTTCGAATAGACTAGATTCGATTTAGATTAGATTCGTTTAGGTTAGATTACATTAGGCTAGACTAGATTGGCCCCATTTGCCCTTATTAAACTGAATTTAAACATGTGCCCTTCGAATAGACTCGATTAGATTTATATTTAAAATGATTTTAGGTTAGATTAGACTAGACTAAGTTTTGCTCTTCTCCATTTGCCCTTTTCAATTAAGATTTGGCTCATCTCTACTAAGACAGCTGCACCCGACCCACTTTCAGGTTTTCCCACTAGCCTCGTAACGTGCTGTTTTAGCTGTGGGGTGTGTCTAGTTGTCCACCCTACTGTTTCAGGAGTTGGGGTTGGTAACCGACTTAATTCAGGAGTTGGGGTGCTTGATAAGCTCGATTCAGGAGTTCAAGTCTTGAAATCTCTCTTAGGATACCGTTGGTCCAAGGGCGCTAAGCCATTTTGCCAGTATCGCGCGAAGCTTCCCAGAGGATGCTGAAGGCGTCAAAACATAGCATGTCGTAGTTCCAGTGGTTGAACAAACCATTTTTTTAATTCAAGACAGGTGAACATAAATACGTGCTTTCCCATGTGTCTATTTACAAGCCCTCCATACCAACGAGACTCTTAGAAACGCAGCAATAAACACAAACAAGGCAATGAACCCTATATTGTTCATGGTTTTTGGACCTGACAATTTGCCTAAACCAAAAAAGTTGAATTCCAGCACGAAGAACTTAGGAACCCGAAATGGAGACACTCGGCCAGACAAGGTCAAGTTTTATAATATGTATATACAGAGCCTAGATATCTCCAAATCATGATTTTCTTTTTCCGGTCCCCCAAACAAATTAGATTGATCAGTCGAGAAATTGCACCCATGACAAAGTAAGCACCACGGGCAAACATCTGCACAGGAAGTGGACCCGACTGGCCGCTATTTTCCTTGAAATTTCGCAGCCCGCGCCCTTGGAAACAGACTTGTTTTTGAATGTTTTGAAGTTATGCTTAAAAAGAGGCGTGCTTTTATCAGCAAAGAACGTGGTGGGTAAAAAACAATAGAGCCCAAACGCGGTTCCTGTGGCAATAGAGGTAGGAGTCTTTCATTGGCCTGGACATCAAAAGAAGCTCGGTTTCTGAAACAAAATCTTGCATCCAAGAAAAGACATATTGCCAAGAGTGCCAAGTCAAGAATTGTGATCCTTGATTCGTTGGCCCGCAAAGCTTAGAAACTATGAAAACCGCCTGGAATTGGGAATATACATATATATATATATTTATATTTATTTCTTACGTGGATCGCTTCACGAACATGTCAAGCAACTGGAAACTTCAGCAACGTTCGCACCACCCTTCTTTTGACCATGGGGATTCATGCTCTTAAAGAATTGTCTCGCGGCCCGTACGGTCGGGCTAGGCAGAAAGGAAAATCACGGTTGTGAGTCTGAACTGTCATCGAGGTCTTCGATGGCCGGCAAAGATTGGTGAACTTGCAAATGTTGCTGTAGGCGTTGTTGAATCGCCAACATGAGCACCAAGCGGGTAAAGCGAAGCTGATGTGCGGCCGTCTCAAGACACTGAAGACCATCGATGATCGCTAACCGGACTGGTTGATGTTCAGATGGAATATCATCAAGAATTGTGGTCAAAACGTCAATGGAGTCTTGGATGCGAGCATGCAAGCACTCTGCCAGAATTAATGGCGCCAACAACGTTTGAAAGGAAAAGGTTGGCATGGCTATATGAAGAGAGGTACAGTGAGGACACTTGTCCTGGAGGCCAAATCACATGATTTGGGCCGATATAGGGTGGGACAGACAACGTCTGGGCTGGGACGAAAAACAAAGAACGAATTGTGGGGGGCTCACTTGAGCCTCTTCTGACGTAATGTGTGAAAGAAGTGCGAGTGCTCAATGGTTGCTATTATTTCGACATGTTCTATTGCCCTTATACATATAAGGGCAAATCCATCGATCTTGTTCGAAATAACATTTCATCAACACGTTGAGTTCCATTTTATTTCTTACGTGGATCGCTTCACGAACATGTCAAGCAACTGGAAACTTCAGCAACGTTCGCACCACCCTTCTTTTGACCATGGGGATTCATGCTCTTAAAGAATTGTCTCGCGGCCCTCCCCTAGCTTTGAGACGAACTTGTTTCACTTTCTGACAAACAATCCTTCCAGACTTTGAGTAAATCCACTTTGGTGGTCGAAATTCCTCGATATGAGGCGGTCAACCTTCGTGAGAGTTCATCTGCTGGATTTGATTGAGATGGCACACGCTCAACCCATGTCATCAGCCCAAGGCGCTCTTCAACGGAGCATATGTACCTTATCATGAGGTTCATGTGGTGGTTGTCTGATTTGCACTTGATCAGACATGACTGAGCGCTCTTGTTGTCTGTGAAGACCACAACTCTTCTGCCTTTGATGTGTTTTGCAAAGACGCGCAGAGCCACTGCAATGGCGAGCCCTTCGAGCTCAAATATCACAGTTTCCTGATCTGCGCGTTTGATCTTTGAGATCAGGTCGCAGCTGGCTTCTTCGCTGAAGAACTCGAGGCACTTCCCTTTCGAGTCTAGCACCAAACCTCCCACTCCAGAAAAGCCCGAGGGCTCAAATGCAGCATCGACGTATATATGGACCCAGTCAGTAAAATTCGTATCCACTGGTCTGGGGATGTTATCTGCAAGGAGGGAAAGCATCAAACTCAACGAGGCTGCGAGTTCTGGAGAAACCACCTTGAAGCCCCTGCTAACATGTATGTTCAGTTCCTTGAGGCAGTTTCTGAAACGCCTACCAAAAATCTGGTTTGACGCGAACTGCAATCTCCCTCTAAGACGCTCTCCTTCAGCCCTTGTTAGGACCAAGGTGGAGAGGATCTCCTTGATGAGACAAATGAGCTCTTCTTTCCTGGACTCCGTGTTCTTCACCGTGAAACTGCCAGAGGGACTATGGACGAGGTCCACTTCGACCCCTAGGACCTTGCAACATTGGCTGTAGGGGACAAGCTTGTCCTCAGACAGCCTCCAACCCAGAAGTTGAAAAAGCGTCGACACGCACAATTCGGTGTGTCTTTCAAGGCACACGGGCGAAAGGCTCAAGAAGTCATCGAAATATGACGTCCAAGTCAACTTAAGCAAACTACTGCCCACATGCCAAATACCCATAGCACACCTGAGAAAGGCAGTCACGGAGGCAATGGAGCCGAAGGGCAATACTGCTTGCTTGTAGATCTCGGGCTCACCAGTGTTGGGATTGTAAATCACTATGTAAGAGTCAGATTCATAAGCGCTATCCGAAAGCGGGATTTGTTTGTAGGCGGAGGCTAGATCCCAACACTTCGCCGCTAGGACCCGCTTGTTCTTGTCCGTCTTGGCCGCATTGAGCATCGCAGCCCCCAAGCTGGCAATGTGGTCTATGCCATGCAGAGTAACCACCTCAACTTGCGTGACCGCTGAATTGACTAGGCTGGCTTTGTAGTCGTCTATTGGACGCACTTTGTCCTTTTGCAAGACTCCAAAACGTCTAGTCAATGTGGCCCCCGAAGGAATGTTTGAAACGTCAATTGGCCCATGCAGAAGTCCCAGCTCTCGCTCCTTCAAAGTAGCGACGAGCACCCCTTGATCTATCTTGGCGTCGCCAGAGGTCTTCACGCTGGTCAACAGTGCACCTCTGGCTCTATCAGCCACACTTCTCAAGGCCTCTGTAGGAAGTGCGGCAGGGCGGTATTTCTGGCTGAAGTGATGAGAAGCCGGAAGTTTGCCAGTGAGGTCAAAGCCCTGACACACGTCATCAACCAAGTCCACATCTTCGGACTTCGCTTCCAGGAGGAGTTCCTTGAACAGCAGGAGTCTTTTTCCTTTCAGGACTTCACGCCTCCTCGTCGACATCCCGTTCTTTAACTCGATCTCATCTGTTGCTAGCTGCTTTGAACGGTGAATCATCTTCCTGAGGACTTCAGACCTGTGTTGAGCTAAGGCTTCTGTGGTGCTACCGGCACCAAAGTTAACTGCTTCTTGCATGGGCTTTGGCAACTGGTCAGTTTCGATTCCAGGGTGGCCGGCTTCGATGGCTGCTTGAACAAATTCGTCAGGACTGCGGTGTACTCCAACTGTTTTGTATCCCTCACTCGCGATCTCCCCCACAGTAGGAGTGGAGATAAGTCTGGCATTTTTGGGAATTGGAGCTTGGGTTGGCAACTGCATTCTATATTGGAACTCGCTGACCCATGGCAAACCCAGTGTGGATGTTTGAACGTGTGTATGTTGTCTGATAGAATTCAGCTGAGTGGCTTGATGTGCACAGCTGGGAGTGGGACATAGAACACCAAGGTTCTGGACATGTAATGCAATGAGGGCTGCTAAACGTCGGCATAAGGGCCACGGATAAGCTGTCTCTTGGGCGGTTGCCCAGCCGCTTCCAGTATGTCCCCACGGCTCATGTTCATGTAGGTTATCACAAAGGAGTTGCATGTTGCGGACTGTAGAAATGTTATGTACCAGGCAGGTGTGTTTCCTGCGTGATGAGCCATACATGCAGTGGTGAAAGTATGTGGTATAATGGGGCACTTCTTGAAGGAACTTTCTGAAAGGCTTTGTCTGCCACATAAAGCTGCGAGCTGGATTTTCGATGGTGTACATCACACCACTGTTGTGGCACAATTTGCACAACTGAGCAGTGATTTGGTACAAACGATTTGCTGCCGCAACTTTCGCTTTGTGAACAGGATGGATATCTGTCAGTCCATCTGGGTGCAGATCGGTTCTGAGAACCGGAGGGTTATATCGTCCTTTTCGACGAATGAATCTTGCTCGACTGGCGGTTCCACATGGTGGTGCAAAATGCACGTATACACAAGCTTCTTCTTTGATTATATCTTGCACGAATTGGAGACATTCTGGTTTCAGAAGGTCTAGTTGTAAAACTGGCGCAGCAAGGTGATTTGACACGACATGGTCGACTCCAAATGAGTCTCGGAACCCCAAGTGCCTCAAGGAAGCTGTGAGACGACTGGTTCCTGCAAAAATTTCGATACCAAAAAGGTCATGGGAGGTTTTGCCTCGGCACTTGGCTAATAACTTTTCTTCGAAAGATGCAAATGGCGCGGCAACTCCCTCCGGGAGTCATGAATGATTCTGGAGGCTGTGGGCTTTCCCACATCCTGGTTCTGCGCGAACATGGACGCCGCGGCTGCACTGGCCTCCAGGATGAGCTTCCGAGCAGCCGGTGGCTAAATTGTAAGGCCAGCAAATTCGTCGGCCGTCTGTTGTTTCCAGGGATTTGCCCACCAAGTCTTTGGGGACGTTAGGCCCTCTTCCCTTTTTGGCTTTTGTTTTGCCTTTGCCCTTTCCTTTTCGGACGTACGGAGTACCTTTGGGACCAGGTCGTGGAGGCTCTTCATGCTTCCGTTTGTTCGGATTGGTTGGTGATGGCTTCGGAGCAGGTGTTTTTGGCATGGCCGTGGCCAGTGGGAGCAAGTGAAAACTGACACTGGGCCTAACGATGACTCTTGGCAGTTCCATCTCCAGAGGAAGATCTCCATTGGAGTCTCTCTTCAAGCTGGTCAACAACTCTGCTAAATGCAAAAAGGCAGCTCGGTCTGCACGCAACACCTGGGTGACTGTGGTGTTTGCGTAGCCTGGTGGTGCGTCTTCTTGTAAATGGCTCAAGAGTTCTGCATGGTATGCGTTCATGACTTCATAAGGTACCACTCCGATGAGGTCAAAGGCTAGGGCTCTTCTCCTGAAGGCTTGGACCAGTTCAAGTTCTGTACGAGTGGCGCATGTGTGGTCAGTTGGCTTTTCTTTGACAGTGAGCGAGTCATTGTCTAGGGCCAATCGCTTCATCGGTTTCTTCTGCGCCAGCTCGAAGCGTCGAGTGACGAACTTCTCAGGGTGCAGGTACGTCAAGGTGTCTCTTTCCAGCAAGGTGAAGACCAGGTCATAAGACGAATATGCGACTTCTTCATCTCCTTTGAAGCGCAGCCCTGTGAGGCGCCTTTGCTGGTCTTGTATGCGTCTCTCTCTTTCCGCTGATGGCAGCACACAGTGCGCGCTGGTGTCATCTTTTCGGCCCACTTCAGACTTGATGTTTGCTACCACCAAAGTATGTGCTTCAAAAATAAGCAGCTTGGTTGAGGTAATTGTACCTAAATTCACTGCAACCCGATCTTGGGAAAAGTCTTTGACCTGTTGTTCATTGGGTGAAGTCCCCGGCGGGGTCACCGCAAAGGCCATCTGGGCAATGGACAAAACATTCGAATCGACAATTGCCTGGGTCTCCTCACTGCTCAAACCGGCTTTCGCTGCTCGGTCACGAAGAGCTGCAGTCGAATGTATTAAGGACGAGGCTTCCTTCAAGGGCACTGCCATGGCCAACTTCTATTGAGAAAAAGTGCAGTTCTGACTTTGTTATGTTATTACGTGACTATGTCTCGTATATGTTGGTTATTACTCAACTAAAGAACCCTGATGCGACCCTCTTGTGCTACGGCTTCAGCTAGACAAATGTTGCGAAGGTCAGGCTGATACAAGAAATCGTCATGGAGGGACAGAATCAGACATCAGGTACGCTGGCTGGTCTTTTTACCTCATGCTGCGTCAATGACTTTGGTGCACCGCTTACACTTTCTGCTTTCGAGAAAGGGCGTCGCTTTCACGACCTTGTGGTCTTTGGTCGCACGCATTCCGCACTTGAAGGTGGTTGCGTCATTCTCATGCTGCAAATGAACTATCTTGCTGAGCACGTGCTGGTGCATGATTCCAGAGCCCCACTTTGAACGTTGGACGTTCGGGTCGTCGCTCGCCACCAACCTCCAGCTGGTGGCGCTAGGGCGATCTTCTGATGAGCTGTCCGAGTCCGACGAAGAGGAGTCTCCATCACTGGAAGATGAGGACGAGTCTTCATCTTGTTCCCTTTGCTCCTCCGCACAGTCGGGCTGTGATGGCTCTTGGACGTGTCCAGACCTGGTTAGGTCTGGGTGTAGTGCACACATCCTGATTTGCCTGAGCACATCATCCAAAGCTCTGAGAGGTGCTGACAGCACATCTCGGGAATACGTCTCTAACGATCCTTTCTGTGTGCTATGGTGGCCAAGGAGGAGACGATAGTGCGGCTCTGTGCCTGCCTTTGCAAGCCAAGAAAGCGTTGTGCACTTCAAACTGTGTGACGTAACATGATCCAGCTCCGAATTGTTCTGCTTGAGCAGCTCTGTCAGCCATTTCGTTGCTTCAGCAGCTGTGACGCTGCGTGCGCACAACTCTCCACACTTGTCTGGGGCTGGCAGGACTGGGCCCTCAAAGGTTTCATTGAAGTCTATCCCAATTTCTTTTGCAACTTTCACCCATTCCAACGCCCAGCAAGGGTTGGTTAACCCCCAAATGGGCGCTACCAGAGGTAGAGGCAATCCATGGCGCGCTACTTGCGCTGCGGTTTTGTGGGAGAAAGTTGAGAACTCCAAGTAGCCGATTGTCTTTGTGCCTGCGGTGTTGATGTCAAGGACGTAGTGACTGACCCTTCGCAAGTCAGACCAACGGCAACGTCCAAAAACTGCAAACAGGAAAACTCCGGCTGCGTATCTGTCTAGAGCATCAACTCCTGTGTCTCTCAAGAGTTCTTCCAGGAATGCGACCTCAGCCACAGTGAGAGGTCTTGCTTGCTTTCTTCTCGGCCTGGTGAGGGCCCTTTGGTCAAGTACCCCTTGGACAAATTTCGAAATGAGGTTCTGACTAGCATCCTTGACTGGAAGTCCTAGCACGTAGGTGCCAAAGTTAATCGCCTCCACGAACGAGATGAGGTAGCTGTAGGTCATGCCGTCTTGGTGTTTTCCCAAACGAAATCTGAGATACAGTCTTGTTCAAATGGGATAGGGTGTCGTCTGTAAAAATAACCCTTGTGCCACATGCAGAACTGCAGTAAACTGTTCGCTCTCTTTGCTATGGTGTTCGGGCTACGGGCACCGCATAGTACCCTGATCTGTTGGAGATTGCGGTCCATGTCGCCATCATCAAACTTCACACCTGTAGGTGTGCTATTCGGCCCAGAAACCATAACAGTATACAGTTTTTCCAACGCCCTGTTCCATTTGGTTTGATCTACCTCCGGGTCGGACAGAGTGTTCTTGAAGGAAATTGCACGCTCGTACAGCTTGTGGCCACACCCATCTGTCTTCTGCTTCTTCGGAACCCGTTCCATGGCAGGCTCATTGAGATGGCGCGATGACTCAGCATGGTCCAAGGTGTGGGCCACCTTTGGGATTTCAGGAGCTGGCACTAGTGGTGCATCATTGAAAATTGTAGCCATTATCCCAGTCTCCCAAGGAAGCGTCAGGCCGTCACTCAAGTCTGCACTCATCATGGCTTGGTGTACCATTGAGTCTAACACTGCCCTTTCACGATCAGTCAGAGGCCCGGCATCAAAACCCTGCTGCTTATCACGGCTATCGACGGATGGAGGACAGGATGGTGCATGTTCGTCAAGTCTCATGAAGTTTTCTTCGTCCCCCGAGAAGGAACCAAACAACTCTTCGGTTTCATGTGTCTCAGGTTCAGTTGGGTGAGGTGACGCCGCGACCTCCTCCATTTGATCTCCTACATGGCCGTCGATGTTGGGAGGCAGTGGCAAGTGGGTCCCTTCATCGGGGACAAAATTTTCGGAATCCATGATTGAGCCTACACGTGACATGTCATGACTGTGGCGCTGGCTGATCGATAGGACAGGTTAACATGGCATTGAACAAGCTGCACATCGGATGCACATTTCAAAGAAGCTCATTTGACTTTTTGGAAGGCTGTCTGGTCTACGGCTGCTCATGACCGCATCGAGTTGGGGCTGTTTCCCTATGGCTGGTCAGCCAACAAACTCGACGACTGTATCGGCAAGCAACTTGACTTCAAGTAAAAACTTAAACACTTGCTCCTCGTCCGGTCTGGTGCAGCTTATAATCAAATGGTCAAGCAAATCAATGAAGGCATTCAAGTGGTCTTTAAAAACTGGGGAATGTTCGGCCCTGAGTGTGCCTAAGGAGGCTTGCATGAACAACGGGGAGCGTTTTCTGGCTACCTGGCTCCTGAATGAGTGAGGATGATCCTCCCTATTGCTTCGGAACCAAAGCTTTGTTGTCTCCAGTTCATGGTAGAAGTCAACAAACAAATCCAGAAAAGATGGTGTGCCAACCAATCTGAAGATTTCATGGAGACATGCTTCGGTTTTCGTGACTGCCCTAACTAAGTCACCGCCCTCAACCAAGAGCGACGCCAGCAAAATTGCCAGCGTCCCAACGTTGGGGCCGATCGGCATGCTTCGTCTGGAGTTCACGTTTTCCACTCGTGCGCTGGATGCCCCAGCCTGTCCATTCATTTCCATCCACGGCCTGTGCATTCAAACAGGATGACATCGTTGGGCTGCAAGGAGAAAAACCCTAGGTCCATTTGAGAGCAAGCACAGATCACCCGTGTTGTGCCTCATGCACAGAAGGCCTGCAAACGTCCTACAAGGGAAAATTCGCAAGTAGTGTCAAAAGGGGACCAGTAATTAGTTTTTGTTGATATTCTGTTTGCTCACTCGAGCATGGCTCCTCCGGGCGACCAGGAGAAATCCCAAGTCTTCAGCCTCAGCCGTCATGACTTGGCCACTCGGCCAACAAGCACACTTGTGCTAGACTGGGACTCAAACATATGAACAGGGGTTCACTTCTGTTTTTGTTTACTTTTCAACTTCCGAGGCCTTGACAAAAGCAAAGGTTTTGACCTCGGCAACACGTCACTCGACATGTGCCGTATGTAACACGCTCTGTCACGTCATGGCACTCGCCATGGATGCCTCTGAGAACGGCACTTGTCACAGGACCTCAATGTCACTATCACTTCTCACTTTTTTTTTTGAATAGAGGCCCGGGCCGTCAACTTCCAAAACATGAATGGTTCGGCCTGTCGGGATGTGACCGGAACCCCATTCCTGCGAAAATCCAATGTGTGGATTTTCAACTTTGGGGAAATAATACACTGGTGCCTCGAGGTGCACGCAATTGCCCAGTTTGAGCCGCTAAAAAGAAAATGGCCAAGTTTGAGCAATGCATCAAATTGAAAGTTCGGTGAACATCGCTGATTAAGCTTTCTCTTTCCATTTTTTTCTTTTTTTGAAACCCAAGCACTACGAAACCCATGCACAACCCCCCGAAAATAAATGGGTTTTTAAGGCTGGTCGAAGCACTCACGGTGATGGAGCAGCGTGGCTAACATCAGAGTCGGGGTACCAGACGGATCTGTCTGGCTGTGGTCGGGGAGTCAAGACCAAAGGTTCACCCGTGCTGAGACATCGTTCAAGCCGAGCCAAACGGTGTTCAAGTCGTGCGATGACGACTGACTGTGTGCTGATCAAATTTTCATATTGTTGTAATGATCGAAAGACTGAAATGAAATGCACGTGGACACGCGTCGGTAAGGTGCTTTGGGCCGTCTGTTGCGGCGGGGTCAACACTGGGGCATGTTGGAATTGCGCGAAATGTAAAAGGCAGCGCTGGTACTCGGTGAAGCTGGAAATCTGGATGAAAATTTGTCTGGGCCATTCCAATCCGTCAATGGAGGTGTTGAGATCGATTGAGGTCGAGTGACTGAGGACTCGGACCAACCCAGGAACGGCCACATCCAGATGGAGAAACTGAAGTAACATCTGCTTCAGCGTCAAACTGGTCAGCAAATTCAAAACCACACCTCCCCACGGTGTCGGTGGGGCCCCATGGATGTCATCATCGTCGCTAGAAACTTCTGGTTGCAGAGGCGGATCCAGGACACGGGAATCGGGATCCATTTCTGTGGCAATTTCCAAAAGGGCCCAAAATGCTAACCAGAAGCAGCTTCGAAGATGAATGAGAACCTGATGTGATGTCGGTGTAGACGATAGCCCCACGGCGCTGCATGTACGAAAAACAAAGAACGAATTGTGGGGGGCTCACTTGAGCCTCTTCTGACGTAATGTGTGAAAGAAGTGCGAGTGCTCAATGGTTGCTATTATTTCGACATGTTCTATTGCCCTTATACATATAAGGGCAAATCCATCGATCTTGTTCGAAATAACATTTCATCAACACGTTGAGTTCCATTATAATTATAAAATCGTATATATATACATATATATAATTGTATATGTATATATGTATTTATATTTATTTTTAAAAATATACTACTTATTGATTTATTTATCTATTTTTTCTTTGAAAACATGTTATTTTTTAAATTTATTATTTATTTATCTATATATGTAGATATGAGAAAAAAACACTGTTGCCATTTACATCGCGTCCGGATTGTGGACTGTGGGCCCTCACCCTTTCAGCCTCGCAGCGCCACCCCTTACAAGAATTACGCATCCAAGACCTGACTCCTGAACTGACCTGCGAAGCACCACTCCTGAATTACATCACCTTCCAAGCAAAATTGACGGCTTGAAGAGCAAATCACATCTAATTTAAAACCAGATTCCCGAACCCGACCAAAACCTTGGCTTCACGCTAATTTCACCTTCTCATTCTTCTCATTTTTCTCTTGGCCCTTAAACCCTGTTGATGTTCAGGACTTAACTCTTTCAATTTTCAACATCATTGGTAGTCAGGAAAAGGCCATACAGTACTTTCATTTGGGGTATTGTTTGGTGTTTTTTTCTAATACATGTCGCTTCTACTTGGATCAGATTGACAAAAATTGAATCAAAAAACATCCAAAAAACAGAGAAATAACACTAAAAATTGAAAAAAACAAACACAAAATCGTAATAAAATCGGAAAAACATCCAAAAAAACACAAAAAATAACAAGAAAAAACGAGAAAAAACAAGAAATTAATCATCAAAATCTTGGAAACAAAATATGATGTTTTTCAAGAAAATTCAAAACCAAAAACCATTAAAGAAATTAATCATCAAAATTCAAGTACCGAACCACCCCTCCCAAGACACCTATAGGTTTCAGAAAATTTGGACTTAAGTGCCGATGTGCAGGGCTCTACTTGCTACATCAAGGATTTTAACTTCAAGAAAGCATTGACTCCAGGATCTGATTCCGGAGCCTTGAACAAATATTCAGAGCAAGGATGACAATATTGATTCTTGCTGCGGTGCCAAAGAGACCAATGCAGAAAAGAACTTGGTGGTATAACAAATGATATTGATGGTGATGCGATCTTTTAAACCCAAAAAGTGTTTTACCTCAAATTTGTAAGAAAAGAATACTTCGAAAATTCAAAGAAAAGAGGAGAAGTGTCTAGTTCCTCACGCTCCCACACATGAATTTTAACAAAAAAATGTTGAACCTTGCAAAAACAAAGAAATGACATCTAATTTTTGACATTCCAAGTCGTGAATCTGGCTGCTCCCACTCATGAATTCGTGAAAAGAATAGTTTAACCTTGCAAAATCTGCTAAATGTTATCTAGCCTTTGACATTCCAAATTGTGAATTTGGCTGCTCCCACTCATGAATACTGAAAAATATAGTTGAACCTTGCAAAAACAAAGAAATGACATCTACTTTTTTGACATTCCATATCGTGAATCTGGCCGCGGTTTTTCGCTCAATATTCAGAAATTAAAACTGACACGATTGCAGGCGCTCATCAAATTCACCGCCATGCAAGGGCCAACATATAGATTTCGATAACCCCAAGTCCTGAAACATGCGATGGGAAGAACCAACTCCTGAATGCCGCGGCCTCAAACCTGGACACCTCTAGCTGGGAAACTGCACGTCACGACCACTAGCCTTTCGAGCAGATTGCGCTTGGCTAGACTAGATTAGACCAAATTCGATTTCGTTTCAGGT